ATGCCGTTAACGGACCTTCCAATCCGGCCCCTCGACGTTATGGCCCTCCTCAGTCTCGGTCACACCAAACAATCTCTGCTCCTTCCCACCAGACGCAAGCATCTGGACGCTCATCCTACCACCAGCGTCCTGCTCAACCGGCAGAGACTTCAACTTTTGCTCAAGTCGTTTCCCGCTCAGTGACAGATTCCGAACTGCCTAAGCCTAAACACCCAAAACCGACGGCGCGCTCGCCAAGACCAGACTCCGGCTCTGTTCACAGCCGAAAAACCGAGTCAATCGACTGTTCCGAGACCGTATCATGTACTGCCGAGTCATCGGTCTCATCGCCACGAACTCCCTCGTCCGAGACGGCCAATTTTTCAGAATTGTCACAATCGTCATCTGCGTCGCCTGTGCCTGAAAAGCTTTCGAAACAGCATCTCATTTTGACGGATTTTATGACTAATGCTTGGTCCAGTTTCTCAAAGTCTCTTCAGTAGCCAGATGGGCGCTCACCACTTGCCCGCATTTACTTCCCCTCCCTGCTCTATTCTGGTAGATTTTTTCTCATTCCCGTCTTGTAGATAGTCACCACCTCTGCTCTCTCGCCCACCTCCTTTTGGGGCGAGTAATTTTTTTGGGAAATTTATCTTTTTCCTTCCGTATACACGTTTGTTTAATGGTAATATGGATTGTGGGAACATTTAGGAGTATTTGTTGCCTACTGTTCTATGTACCGTGTTCTCTTATCGCGTGAACAAAATATGTGCACAATGGTTTCAGACTGTGACCTACTGGCAGCTAGAGTTAGTGATCACCTTTTTGTACACAAATTCTAATTTCACTCACTTGAAGTCGACAGGAACTACTGGAGTGGCCGTCATTGTGTTTTTTTCTAGTTTTAAATTGCCAATTTTCCTTTTTCGGTGGGCGCGCCCCTCATTTTATTTCTTAGTCCAGCGCTCTATTTTTACGGCTTCTTGCGTTTCTGTTTTTCTAGTGTTATTAAAATCTTTTAATGCTTATTTTGTAGAATCATATAGCGTACGCTTTTGAATAGTGAGTGAACAAACAATGGTTTTTGTGCTGCATTTTCTTTTCATTTAATGATCTTGCTAGATCTAGACTTGGGTCTTGGATGGCTATCCCCTAGGTTGTCCGCAGTTCGCTTTCGACTCTTAGGACTGGAGCCACTGGTCTGCTTCTTCGTAATACTCTCACGTTAAGCAGACACAGACACGCTGGTCGCAGGTTTTTAGTCAATCTCTGTTTGCACCGCGATCCAAATCCCTCCTACCCGGGAAGACACGCTTCTCCGTTCTGGGATTTATGCGTACATCGAATCGCTTGCTTTCGTGGCTAGTCCTGCTAATTCGATGTGCAGGGCATAGTACGGTTTTATTACGGGACAATTTGCTTGTTGCGACTGCGATCATGACTCATCTAGCCGGCCTCAGTGGTGTCCCGCATCGTACTTCTCCACGCGTGACTATCCGTGGCAGCATATCGATCCATTCTCTTCGCCACCCCCGGAGACCGTATACCCAAGGTCCAAGAACCACTTCCATGTCCTGATGGACTGATTCAATCCAGGTTTTGAGCTAATCCCCTCTTCGACGTTTCCAATTAGGTTACGGTTTCGGGTCGACGGCAGTAACACTAAACTCGTGTGGTTGCCGACGAAGAACGCATCCAAACCACCTCAGTCGTCTTTTTTGGATGGCGTGGAATATCCTTGCGATGTTGTCACAGCGAGTGCGGACTGTCTTATTTGAGACTAAATCGATATACTTCACTCGGAGAATGGTCCTCAGCAGTATTGGTCAAATACCTCCAGTTTCCGTTCGTCTTTCACGCGCATAGCCCAGCATTCGCAGCCGTATAGAAGAACACACCGCACAGATGCACGGCACACGCGGACCTTAGTGGTAATAGAAATATCGCGTTGGCTCCATAGACACTTTCGAAGGCCGGAGAAAACTCGTCGAGCTGCGTCAATTCGGGAGACAATGTCATCCTTACTCCGTTCATTTGGCAGCAACCTCGCTCCGAGGTATTTTAAACTGTCTACTTCTTCAAGTCGACAGTTATTTATCTCGAGGAGTGCCTTCTCTTGGGCGGGGATGCAATATGAGAACATTTTGGTCTTCCTAGTGTTTATAGACAGACCGACCCGTGACACCATAGACTGTAGATCGCCAAAACTTGAAGCTAGTATAGCGATATCATTGGCATAGTCGAGGTCAGTCAACCTGCCTCCGGGCGCAATCTCAATACCGTCATCTATACGTAGGGCCTTCCCGAGGATCCAGGCAAAGGCGTAGTTGAAGACGATGGGCGACAGGACACAGCCTTTTCGAACGCCAGACCGAATGGCAAAGGGTCCTGAATGGTTTTTATCGACCAGAACTCGCTCGATGGTGGAGCGGTAGTATACCTTGATTATGGCGATTATTTTTGGTGGTACATCATATAATGCCATTATCCGCCACAAGGATTCAAAATGAACGGAATCGAACACAGCGGCGAAGTCAAGAAAGCAGACTGTTGTTGGTAGCTATGGTGGAACTCAGGGATTCGTCTAAGCGTGAATATCTGGCCTGAACATCCACGCCCAGCGCGAAATCCGGCTTGGTTGGGCCGCGTCTTAGAGTCGCGCACAGACTGGAATCGACCGAGATGAACAATAGCGAAGATCTTCGTGGTGACGCTGATGAGACTTATGTCGCAGTAGTTCTCTCATCTTGTCTTATTTCTCTTGTAGACAGGCACAAGGATGGCTGAGTCCTAGTCATCAGAAGCAGCCTCGTCTCTGCAAGCTCGTCTAATCACCTCATGGTGCCAGTTTTGACACAAAACGTGTAGATATTAGCGGGTGTACCGTCTTCTCCAGGTGCCTTATTGTTGCGCGATCTTCTTATGGCGTCAGCGATTTCTCCTTCAGATGGCGGGTCGTAGGACACTGGATAAGGGAAAAAGGGAGGAGACTCCATTGTAGATGTAAGCAGGGAGGGATAC